CGATTAACATATTAATATTCGAATTATATAAGCAAAAGATGCCTTCCATCGAATAACTCGATTAACTAATACTGAAAAGAACCTTAATTCTAAAGCCTTTAGATAATTATATATAGTATGTGTAATTAGTATAGTTTAATTATGAATCAATAATTTGGTGGAGAGATCAAACTCATTTCAAGAATATAATACAATCGCTTCAAAACCTAGCTCTTCGAAAGATATTAGGAGTTTTCAAAACAGCCCCAATCCTTTCAATGGAAGTAGAAGTAGGTCTAAAGCCCCCAAAAATTCGATTAGATTCAAATATTAGGCAATACACGTTTCATCTAGCTAAACTCTCGCCAAACTATTTAATCAATATCGAAAAAGAAATATTAGTTTAATATTAAACCAATTTGAAAGTAATCCCTACTCCTTAAAGAAAATGATATAAATCAATTCAACTTAATAGAATTAGAAGATCAATAAATCAGAATCTCAATCCTATTTTACTTGAAAAAATTATTCACTTTAACTTCCCCCCATGGAAAAAGGAAATTCCTTTTAGAATTAATATTAGTAATTCATTAAAAAAAGATACTGTTATTTTTCACAATATTGTTTTCAATTATAGAGATAAAGATATTACCTACATTTATACTGATGCCTCTTTTATTGAAAAAAAAATAGATATAAATATAGATATAATTGTAATATAATCAAACAATCGAATTTCATATCAATAATAATTAAATATTAATAGTAATCAATTAATGTATAATAAAGAGCTTTATGGGGTTACTAGAGCTATTAAATATATTAGTACAATTATCTATATTAATAATAAATTCAAAATATATTCAGATAATCAAGCTAATCTATATCACTTAAAAATACTATCAGACCATTTTGAACAGATCTATCAAATTCGAATAATCAAAGTAGCGGAAATTATTAAAGCAAAAAGGAGCTAAAGTATCTCTAAATTAGATTCCAGGATATACTTTAGTAAAAGGAAATAAGCTAGTAAATAAACTAGCAAAAAAAACAACCACAATATATTCTATCTCAAATAAAACAAGTTTTGGACTTCTAGATATAATGATTAAAAAATACGATTCAGATCAATGGCTTTCTATTCTCAATTAATACAAATTCAAATCAAATCAATCCCCTTTGACCTATTCAAAGCTATTTCCATAAAAAATAGAATCGAAAATCAAGCTATCAAGCGAAACTAAGTAAAATACTGCTAGCGTATATTTTCAACTCAAATTAGATTATAAATATATCAAATCTTATTTATATCGATTCAAACTTTTTGATAATAAATATATATATGGTAATATTGAGGCTCCACAATACCTCCTTATTAGTTATTCTATATATAAAGTAGAAAGAAAAGAAATATTCAAGAATATACCATTATTTAAGATTATTATATAATTTCTATTCTATACAAAAGTAAATATTGAATTAACCATTAAATTTATTAATATCACCAAAATCACTACAAGAGCATAACACCTGGCCAGAGCTTTTATATAAAATAAAATAAAGAAAGGAATAATAATAGAAAAGGAGAAAGGAAAAGAGAATGAAGAAAAAGTAATTAGAGAAATAAGAAAGGGCTTTGATTTTCTTATAATTTCTTAATTTTCACAATTTTCTTATTATATATAATATATATAATGAGCGGGCACTGTTTCCTAGCATTTGTTTTTATTTCCCTAAATCGTATATATCCATTTTTATAGAATAAAAAGTTATCTGCTAGAGCCTCTAGAGATCTAGCCGTTCTATATAATCTTAGACTGAAGATGGATATAAATGAAATCAATCAATCAATCAATGTTAGACTACAGGGGAAGTTCAGAAACCAATCAAAGACCAAGAGAGACAAGACTAATGTAAATGGTAATGTCGTACTTGATCTCCGAGGGAAATTGCTAATATCAAATCTTTCGTAGTATTGAGTTGTGTCATTCTTAACCAAGTGTAGATGGATCCAATTGCCTATCTTACTGACCACGTGGAATCTGGTCTTTATTCCGTATAAAAGGACGGTTCAATCATGCTATAGCCGGCGAGAACTCTGCACACTAATTGACCCCACTATTGTTGTTTCATCTCCATTCTCATAGTACTTGCCATGTTCAGAGCTGTCGTAGCTATGGACACAACCAACATTGCAGTTATCGACTCACACAACATCTTCAACGATATCTCTTTAGCCCATGTCCGAGTATACTTGACTGATATTTGAGATATCGGGAGTCCTTGTCGTACAAATAGTTTGTTGTATTCTTACTTCCCTATGTGAAAGTCTCAGGTGGCCCACTATTTGAGAAAACTCCACTTGAGAGATACAATTTCCAGTCGTTGTTCTTTCTAGAATAAAAGTTGACATGATAGATGTACATACAATATACAAAGTTGACGTCTATACAAATGAAATACAGAATATTCTAATGCAGGCAATGCATCGAACGCATGGGGGCGAAAGAGTTACAGAAAGCGTTGCGCGGTAGTATATTCAATCACCGCGGGCGTACGCCCTGGCACGGTCACATAGAATGAATGTGCTGTTGATATTTTGTGGTCTATGCTTAAGTCTAAGCCCAAGAGACTAAGGGCCCGTTCGGATCGTTTTTTTCTATGTTGACAATAATAACTAATTACCTGATTCCTGTGCGGGTTAAAATCTCGGCGGGCGGCTTGGCTTGATTACGATTGGATCTGCCCCACACGACGTGGCCATAACCACTGACGTGGTGCACGCTGATGTAATTGCACATAGCCACAGACAACCAACTATCCTATCACGCTCGCCCTGAGAAATGACCACATTAGCTTCCCCTCCACCATATATAATGACCCAATGTCTTGGATCTCGTGGACAAAAGAAGTTCATTTCATAACTTCAAGGAGCTTCCAAATTCAATCACCACCTCAAACTTGTTCTCGCAAGCTGAAATTTGTAGAACGATAAGCACTCTTAAGATGGCCGCACTCATCGAAAAATTGACGATTGATGGCGGTGGAGAGTCTGCTGGTATGTCGACAGTGGCTCTAAATCACATTAATCATTGTCTTGCAAGAGGATTGAGCAATCAAAACTGACTCGCTGTTTAATCGAGTAGGCTTCTTGAACGATATCGTCGCACAGCTATGGCCCAACATCGAGGCTGCCGGCAGCAAAATGGTCAAGGACATCGTCGAGCCTATGTTCAAGACCATGCTCCCTGGCCCGCTGGCGACTTTACACTTCACCAAGATCGAGCTTGGCGCCACACCAATCATGTTTTCCAATGTCAAGGTAACAAAGACTGCTCATGATGGTATCAAGCTTGACTTGAATGTGGATTGGGATGGTCAGTGTGATATTGAGCTGGATGGAAACATGATGCCTAAAGTTGTACGTTATAACAAGTCACCGACATAAATTCACAAGATAGCTAATCGTTCAACAGGGAGTTAAAGAAGTTATACTAAACGGCAGACTCTCCATTCTGTTATGTCCTCTTACGAATATCATTCCATTGGTAAGTGGCACATTATAGCACACCAAAGCCGAACAATCCAGCTCTCTTGCTAAATCTCCCCTTAGATCGGTGCCACCCAAATCTCCTTCATAAACCCGCCCGAGCTCAAACTAAACTTCACCGGCGCCGCTAATATCGCCGACTTGTCTCTCGTCGACAACGCTGTTCGCAAGGTGCTGATGGGCATCATTAACAGTGTGGTCGTCCTGCCAAATCGTATCTTGGTTAAACTAGACGCAAATAACGATTATTTTAAGACTTATCATCAGCCACTAGGAATCGTTCGGATCACCGCAGAAAAAGCATGGGTTGTTACTGAGGAGTCCGAGTCCAAGACGAAGAGGCTGTTTTCCAAGTTGACAAGGGCGAGTCCGGATTGCTATGCTGAGATCCAAGTTGGCGCTGAAGAAGCATGGAGGACGACGACTAAGAATAATACTACAACTCCGGCGTGGGGTGAGACCCATGATTTCGTGGTATCAGATTTCAATCAACGCATCAAAGTCGTCGTGTCAGATCACGACTTGAATTCCGATGATGAGGTTGGTGTAGCTGTCACCACTGTCAAGGATATCCTCTTGGCTGGTGGCAAGCAAGAGCTCAGAATGCTGCATGAGGGCACCGAGAGCGAGAGCAAAATCGCTATATCATGTGAATTCTTCCAGTTTACTGCTGATGATAGCAGCAGCTTCTCGGCGTCTGATCATAGTGGTACTGGTCTCATGTGCGGAATCCTCAACGTACTTGTCGCGGGTGCTTTCGGCATCAAAGGCCAGCGAGAAACTTTGAAGCCTAGTGTACTTGTTACGTGGGGAAGCAAACACCGTTTCCAGACGGCTGTGCAGACAGATGCACCCGGTAAAGATATCAACAATCCGACCTTTGATCAAAACTTCCGTATTCCAGTCACCTCCGCAGATATAACAGCTGAAAATTTGCGGATTGCATGTATGAATGAAGATACAGAGATTGGCGCTGTGGAGATACCATTTGAAGATTTGCAGAAGGCGCCGGATATGACACTACAGGACAACTTTGATATTGGTGATGGAGTGAGAGTGAGGGCTAGTATCTCATTGAGGGGAGTACAGCCCGCATCTATGTAGGGAATATAACAAATCACGTGTGCGCACAGCTGTTAATAGATTTTCTTGTAATTTACTATCACTTCATTCCAAGGGAAGGCCTATCTTCTAAGGAACATCACTTGGATGGAAAAATCTTGATACTAAAAGACGGATAAACAAGGCTGACTTTTGAAGGTAAGCATAGACTATCCTTGTAGTTTGATTCCACCGTATCACCATCCCTCTTTTATACATCAACGCATCGAAATTCTAAGCGCAGACTCTGTTAATTCGTTTTTATTCCCACGAAGCCAGAATGTCAAACGATATGAATGAAACGGAATTGAAATCAAAGCTTCGGAGATTCGAGGAGCTATCTGATAAGCTCCGAAACTGATCCGAGGAGATGACAGATGAGGAGTGGTGTTGCCTTGCTGCAAAATGGCAACAGATCGCCGAAGATCTGCAAACTGTAAGAATCATCAATTTATGAACTTATTTCAAAGTATACTGACATGATTGTAGGATCTGCCTGGTTTGATACGAGTAGAAGAGAAGATTGAAAAAATCGCTGCTCGCATGGCTTCTGCGCGTGCCGTTATCGCGTCCGGTGGAATTGATGTATCGGCTACTCGAACAACAGAAATGAAGGAAGTTGAGAGGAGAATTGCTCGTGGTTTGGACAACAAGCTTAACCATCAAGTGAAAGAAGAGAAGCAGTGTATGCAGAAGGATATCGACAAGTTGGAGAAGGATTTGAATCGATTCGCAATCACTGAAAAGATGGAAGAATCAGAGAGGAAGGAGAGAATTCGAAAGATGGATTCTGCCGAGAAAGCAGCTTTGTTAAAATCAGAACGGGATGAAGCTTTCGGAATCGCTGCTGCTATTATTGTAAAGGAGGAAGGAATCTCGGTGGGGGAGTATAAGGCTGGAATTGATCGATTCTTGACCAAACCAAATGGAGGAAAGGTTGGAAACAGGAAGGGAAAAAAGAAAGCTATTGATGATCATGAATGAATGGAAGTTTTGAGATGCTATCATAATTTGTTTTCTTGCTCGATTATGAGCTCAAATGGGAGTGCCTGATTTACAATTTTCGAAAGATAATGCTGCAGGACCTACTGACTAAACCCTAAATTATCAATACGCATTCACCTTGGCATCGGCAAACAAGCCGGATTTATTTAACCTCTAGAAGCTTTTCCAAGATAATGGAGCCTACAATTCTTGGCATAATTACCCGGCTCTACTTGGCGAGACAGGCAATTCACTATGATCAAATGGAAGTAAAAATTAAATCAATTCCAGCCGTTGCTATGTACATATAAGATCTGACAAATACAAAAAACACAACCCCGCTCCGCAATCAAAGTCCACTGTTCCCAAATACGAACACATAACCATCTCCAAGCGACCAACAACAAAGTCTATTTTCTGACCCCATGGGACCGAGAGAACATCTGCATTTGGTGTTTCCCTTACCACCACACCGGGGTCTTCCATACTTCGATTCTTTCCACCGACCACACTGGATTCCATCCCTCCAAGCTGGTACTTTGCTATCTCATTGTTTGATTTGAATAAGAATTGAAGCGGCCTTACCCAAAGCTGCAACTACAATAGGAGCCTATAGAATGTAAATATAAACTTTGGTCTTAATTCCTATTTATATTGAATTAATAAGATAACATGTCTTGAGATACTTTGAATGATAATCCTGGAGTCAAAAAGAACCGAATGATATTAGAAAAAATGAAAACAATCTTTAATATTTGGATTGAGTTATGTAAGCAAACCATAAAGCCGCTTATTAATTAAGTGAAAAAGGGGTTAAGCTTTTATTAAAGCTATGACTATCTAGTTATTTACACTCACTATAATAAGATTAACATGGTTTATCATTGAGTGGCCCATATCATCAAGTAGCCCATTTTCATCTCAATTTATACCTTTTTCTTTTAATACACATTTTATCAATAATCTATAATGAATTCAAATAATCAAGAAGCTTGTATACTTTTTACTATCAAAATTATTTATAAAAATAAAAAATTAAGTATTCGAAAAACTGTTATATTTTATAATATCCTTTGTACGACTTTTCGATATAGAATAAAAGGTTTACTTTTTTGTATAGAAATTCAAGCGAATTGTTATAATATTATAGAATTGGAAGAGGAAGTGATTATTTAATATATATTTGATATAAATTCAAAAGGTCTTTTATTTAAACTTAAAAGTATGGAAGATATAACAAATTATATTCTTGAATCGAGGAATATGAAAAATATTAAAAAACTCTAAATGTATTGATTTGTAAAGTTTTGAATTGAATTAAAAATGTGTTTTAGTTGTGTTTATGATTTTTAAAGAGTTCTTTATAAAGATTCTAAATTTATTGAAAAGTAGTTTCGATTGGTTGTGAATATGCAAGCGAAATATGGTATTTTGAATAGTGATTTCTATAATTTCGATGAAATAGGCTTTATAATGGGGATTATATGTATAGTAATAATTATTAATAATATTGAGAGATATAGCAGAAGTAAATTAATACAGTTAGGTAATCGAGAATGGGCTATAGCAATAATATATAAAAATAGGGAAAGTAAAACTATTCCCCTATTTTTAGTGGTTCAAGGATAGATTTATTTCTTCAATTGATATACCGAAATCGATCTTCCTATAGACTAGATTATTAAACCTATATCTAATGGATAGATAAATAATGAAACAGGTTTAGAATAGCTGAAATACTTCAACAAGCATATTATCACGGTGCGGTCTGGGTGCTAGGTAAGATATATGATATTCTACAAGGTTGTACAGGAGGAGGCAGGGAGGCGCTGACTATATGAAGGGTGATTGCCTAAGGCATCCACCTAACTATATATTGAACCCGTAACAGTACCCCTCCTCAAGAACTTGCTTGTCCCAAACAAGCTAAATCCATTATGCGGTTCACTATTACACAGCTTACCCGTTATACTTAAATTAAATGGATAGCTAGATTCGCTGAATTAATAGCTTAAATGCTTCTTCCTGGCTTGACTTTCCTTTCGCGAATTGATCTACAAGCTCCTTATATCTCCTTTGGATATTCTAATATCAATAATAGGATTGCTATACACAACAAATTTCGAAGGAAACTTTTTCTTCGAAATACAACCCTTTTGCGATCGATTTAGATTATAGTTATTAAACCAAATTGATTATAATTACCCCTAAGTGATCCTAATTAGTAGTTATTATAATACTATTATCAGTATTCCAAATACGAAATGTATACGAAAATTTGTATAAAATTTTCACCTCAAATTATCAAAATAAGAATAAGATTCTCAATATAAATTATCTCGATAATCTATCAACACTTAGGGATATAGCTATAATAGAGGCTTTTTCTGAAACCTTCATTATATCAAATACTTATTTTATTATTACTTTAGATACTCTAATACCTTTAAGTTCTCCCTTACCTTTTGAAAACCCTCAATTCGAAATCTTTAGTCTTATTTTATCAATCAATTAGTTAATCAGTTCTAGAAGAAAAGTTGAAGAGTTCAATCTATTTAATAACCCCTTTATTACTTAAGATATAATCAATATTACCTATATATTTAATCAAAATAAGAAACGTAGCCCTACAATACCCCTTAGTAATCAGAATAAACAATTCAGAATACAAAACAAATCAATTATATTAAAGGAAGCAATCCTAAAAGCAAAAGATCTTATATTATTAGCATCCACTCTCATTCAATTATATAATAAACAATCTAAATTTTTAGACCTTTTTGAAATTTTCAGAAAATACATTGAAAAGGGAAAGCTTACTACAGCCTCCAATATTATCACATTTCAAATCACTTACCTCGAATCAGCTATACAAAAGATCGAATCGCAAGCTAAAATACTAGCTAAAAATCCAATCCCAATTACTATAATATTAACTAAATCAATTTTTGCAATTATAGTAAAAGAAGGAGAATAGAATTTAATTAGTAAAGAAAAAGCTATTAAGCCTACTCCAATAAACAAAAAGATTGAAATTACTCAAAGACACCTAATTCTGATTAAATCAGAAATCCCAAACCCTATTTCCTTCTCCCCCTTAATTATTCAAAACAAAATAAACAAAGTTTTTTAAAAGAATGGAATTGAAGAGTTAGTTATTACAGTAGCTACTCTATCCTTTAATAATAATATTATTATTATAATAAATAATCTCTTTATATTACAATTCCTCTTAGAAAAGAAAACTATTTGGAATAATATTATTAAATTTAAAAGGATTTAAAAGAATCAAGAATAGCATAAAGTCATTATCTACAAAATCCCAATAAAAGAATTCTCAGAACCGAAAGAAATAAATCTTATTTTAAAGGAAATCAAAACCTTTAATCCAGATTTCGAATTAATCAGAACTCTTTTCTAGCTTACACTAGCTTTCAAAAGAGCTTATTAACAAAAAGAAACTATAGTTATTGCTTTTGCTATAAAATCAAAAGCAGAATTAGCTATTCGAAAGCAATTATATATTATTGGAAATAGTACAAAAGTAGAAAATTTCTATAAATCAAAATCAACTATATAATACTAAAAGTGTTAAAGGTTTGAATATCAAAATACTTATTATAAAAGAAACCCTTCTTATGATTTATGTGGAGACAAGTATATCATATCAGTATATTTGTATATGGTATATAATATTAGAGGAAAGTTCTGTTAATACTTAACAGTGAAATACTCGAATTGCTAAGGGAATTATACAGCAAATTTAAAAATATGCGAAACCTATCAGGTTATTTAATAAAATCAAATAATACTTATTAATGAATTACATCAATATTCGAATTATTTAAATAAATCTTAATCGGAGTTTATAAGCTATAGAGAACATTCTACAGCTTATATTTATTTTTATTTATTTATATTAATTAACATCTGTTTTGGACCTCCCTAAGGGTATTTAGATATGCTAAGATAAGGAACTATTTGAGCGGTGTGATTGTTGTAATTGAATTTAGCAATTTAACTTCAATGCCAGGGGCTATTCGCTTCTTTGCAAGTACAATCCGCTTCTGTTTCCAGAAGAGAATATCTGATCCAGATTATTGTTGAGGCAAAGCTTGGTTTCCAAATGGATAGGCTTGTTGTAGGCTTCGATCCTTATGGTAGAGAAGAAGAAGCGAGAGTGGGTTATTATTTGTTTAGTCAAGCAGCAGGACTCTTGTATTATATATTGGGTTTGTGGTTTTTAGAGGTGTAGTGTATTCGAGTGATCAGTTGAGTGGTGAGTTTATAAGGGGTGGGCAGCAAGCTTTATTGAAAAGTTCTATAGCTTATAATAGAACTCAATATCGATCTTATTATTATTCAAGAATCTTGGATTATCAAAAATGGAAATGATTATTCAAATGTAAGGTCGATTATATACTCTAATTTCATATAAACACTTTTGAGATTCGATTTCAAATACCGATTACGAATATTATTATACACCTCAAAAACCCTTCAATTCACAATCAACCTTTTTCCCGATTTTCTAAGAGATCCTGATATTTAGATCTTCAATTATTGAAATAGAAATAAAACCTTTCAAATAGTTAATATTTATAATAAAGCTAATTAAGCTAAAGAAAAGGGCTTTATAATTGAAAGATGCTTATACAATTCAATAATTATATAAGAAATCATTCTTCTAAATGATTTCAGCAATAAATGTATAGCTATTAGCTCACCCATTTAAAGAATTCAAACAATACCTTTGCATATTCTCCTTATTTATTTCCCCTGCCCTGGCAGACTTAATCCTATCAAATCTTGTATTTACAGAAAGCTCCTATTACACCAATGGCAATATACGCCTTTAGCATATCAAGTGATTCCTTAATCTAGGGAGTGCTTTTTTTTTAAATAATTATTAATACCTTAGGGGTTGGTATACAGCCCCCATCAATTATAAGATTATTTATAGGTTCTATTTTTAATATAATTAAGGAACAATTCGAAAAGATTGATAAGATAAAAGAGAAGAAATAGAAAATAATCGAGGTATTCGTAGTACTAATAGATAAGCTTACATAAAGGTTCTAAGGCTAATAATATAAACTCGCTGCGAAATTTAAGAGTACGATTATCTTTGTTTTATTAAGAGTAATAAAGACTACTTTTAATTAAAGAAAAAAACCTATAATGGAGTAACTATAGTCAAAAAGCAATATACAGAAAACCTACACTAATATACTGAAAACTCAAATAAGACCTAAGGTAGTAAGTCCTATTACAAACTTTATTAATATAATATGCTCTACTTCTAATAAAAGTATGAATATTGAATACTCAGAAATATATAGACTCAAAAGGAAAAATAATCAAATTGAGAAAACAATCCTTATAATAGCTAGCGGAAAAGTTCTACTCTCAGAAACTAGTTTCTTTCTGTTAAGATTTAGAATAAAAAAGGCAATTGTTAGAATTATATTAATAGAGATTCCCTTTCTTTAAAGAAATAATATAGATTGAATATTAAGGTATAGTTTTAATATTAATCAAGAGAAGATTATGAAAATAGAAAATATTAAGTAGATACTTAAAATCCTTTATATAATAAGTATATATAAATTAGAAAAATAGTTTATGTATATAGTTCTATAAATATTATATGATTTCTATCATATCGA